TTTCGTGTTGGAATGAAATAACAACTGTTGTACTAATAAAGACTTGACAAAATTAATATACACATTTCAAGTCATATATACACCATTCATAGTCCACGAGTGATCCAGCTCTGTAGAGCCAACACTAATGTCTTCTACTCGTGTCCTAAACAGAGCAAGTGATCTGTCTTCCGGCCCCTTTTTTAATATCCGAAGGCCACTATCACGTGACCTGTATCTTCCTCAACACAACATGTCATGCAGACTTCCTGCCCAACTGCTGACCACTAACAGTCAGATAAATATGTGACCCTTACGTTAATTACCCCGTAGTAACAATGTACATAATAGGTCTCAACATTTCGGCGGCGCGTTGTTGTTCGGCTTCGAAAATTGTTCGAAGGTCTGGGCGGCAGTCTGCTCTCGTGGCAGCTTTTGGCAGCGACATAGATTTTGACGCTGCTTTGGGTGCAGCGTTCTCCAGCGCTTCTGACTCTGTCTGATAAGATTTGGAGGTTTCTTCTATCCTGTAGGAGGTGGAGGATGGTTGAGGAAGCTCCTCAACATTTTAGACTGACCTAATCATGTCAGTATCAGGGGCAGAGACGGTGGGAAGGGCCTCTTCCTTCCCTTTCCTTGTAGTTTTAACCATCTCGACGCATCTTGGAGACTTGGCAAGGCCCGGTATTTTTGCGAGAGCCATCGGGCTGATTCTCGAGTTGTCCAACATGACGTTGGGACACTTTTTTCATTCAGGTGGCATGATAAGAATGCCCAAAGTTCCATCTCAATTTTCTAAATGTATAAAAAAGGCACAAGAGGGATGAGAAGGAGATGAAATGGAACATTCCAAAATTGAGGTTGTACTTGATGATAGTTAACTGTATCCTGCCCGGCCCCACTCGTGCTCAAGCGCCCACAGGAATACGGAGGGTGCCAATTGCCTAGCACGATAATATACTGTTGGAATTTGCCACATTTCTAACAATAATCGGGATTCCTTGCAAATATGAACAACTTTCCTGCATGCTGCATAATTGTCGGAACACTACCAATGGTCAATTCACAAGCTTGTGTGGGGTTACTCAATTCATTCCTGCTTCTTCTCCCTGCCGGGAGGAATTCTATAAATACATTGTTACCTCTAGCTAAACGCTATTCCCTATAAGGAAAAGTCTCAACTAGACCCTTGTACATAACATGTTGTGAGCCAGTTCACACAATAATACTTTCTGTATTCTACATTTTGATTTCTTTTCGCTATTTTATTTTTATTTAACGTTTCTTTTCGCTGTTAGGATATTCTCTCACGCATTTGCATGTGCGGGGTAGTATGATACTATATGCAAATGCAGTGAGAGATATGGTCACGTTTACTTTGCGACAAATAGGATGGCGTTAATGGTGCGGGGTCAGTACTGTTTTATTCCCCGCACAATGGTCTCGTGGTCAGCTATGCTGAAAACCTTTTACTATCATAATTGTTGTTTGCATACCCATTTTAACTCTAGGATATGCACAGATAAATTCGCGTTTTACATGTAACTTAGGACTTTAATGGAAACAATCTTCTTTGAGCTATACTTTCTGCTCGTCTTAGTATGAAATCGCAACATATACAGACTAGACCAAATCAAACCTTACCAAGCGTTTTAAAAGGCCAACTGGCCAGGTGCAGCAGACCTATGTATACATGAGAGGGTCTAGCAAACATTTTGGCCTCTCCCTCACATCTGCCATGATTCGTACCACAGGACTAACCGAAGTTCGCGAAAAGATGTCAGGAAGGTCTTGGTCGAGAGAAATTGCTATTTTTTTTATTAATTCATTTTATTGTCCTGTCAGAGTCTATGACTGTGTAGGACATGCAGGTCCTCTCTGCCTACAGGCTAAGGATATCTATGCCAGTCGTATATCCCCTCCTATGCCTCCAATACAGCTCCCCTCAAACAGTACCACCCCTCACAAGCCCTCATTCGATCATACACTAAGAGGAGCCCTTTGCCCTTCATTATCTCCCCTCTCCAGCCAACGAAACGATGGCCATTTGCCGGTGTATGGCAGCCGGGAACAATCGCATAAACCACTGGGTGCGGGGCTCTTCTAATATCGAGATTAGGGCTAAATCCGAAGACATAGTGACCCTACTGAAGCCTTCGAAGAGGCTGGCCAGCTGGGCGCTGCAGACTTGTGTGTACCTCGGAGGATTCACACTCTGCCTTTCTAGCCTCCTTCCAACTCCTTCCAGAAGGTCGTGGTGAAATGTCAGAAAAGTCTTGACAGAGCGTAATTGCTGTATAGTAGCTTAGCCTGGCTTCTTTTGTGCCGTCAAGGGCGCTGGGAATGCCGTTGACTCATCGACAAAAGAAGCCCTCCTGGCTAATTAGCCGAAATCTTAGTCTTGGCGCCCACACAAAATCCAAAGTTGAAAACTCCTCGAAAATGTCAGTCCCAGCATGGTCTTCAAAGACCTGTTCCCCTCTCGTTCCACTTCTCAGCCGCCTGTTATTCCTCAAGATGTATAATCCCATAAGAGGATTTGTCCCCCATAAAAGAAGATCCCAACTTTGTATATAATGACTTGGTTTCCCCCTTGCGGGTTGTTGAGAAATAAGTCTAATGCATTGCAATTCCAGGATCCTCATGACCCTTATTATGGGTCTGAGTTGTCATCATTAGCCAGGAGTTAGGAGAACCGGAGAGCAAGATACCCTGTACAATTAGCTTGTTTATCACGTGGTTATTGGGTTGTTTTGTTAGCGTGCACGGACCCTCACTCAAGATGTAAATCTCGAGTGTTGGATCCGTTTTTATGGATAATTATTTTACATCTCCAACGAGTTGATTTCATAGACAAGTCTACCTTCCATGTTTTATATTAGAACTCCTTAAAGTGATCATTACACAATACAAGGACTAAGTTTTTAATACGGGTTTTATTTTGTCCATTTACATTCTAGGTAAAGTAATTCCCGTTGCACTCCTACTGGAGCTGAAGCACGGGTGGGGCCGGGCCGGATCAGGTTAACTACCATTAAGTACATCTACCTCGTCCCACCTAAATGACCGGACAACCTAAGACTTCACCCATGTGTTGAATCGCGTCAAGCCCAACTGTCCAGAGAATCCCCTTTTGGCGCGCAGAAGCGCAAGTTCCTCCTCATACTCGGCCACCACGCGCCAGAGCCCTTGACACCTTCGCCGTCTGTAACTTTTCCCTTCGATTCATTCGCAGCATTGGCCCATCTCAGCATCTCCTCATCTCATCCAGGGGTCATTTTCTTCACTGGAGGCCTCATCCAGTCGCCCACCAAGGCCTCCTCAGTTTGTATTGCCTTTTAGTTCCTTCATACAGCATCCCTCTGTCCATCAGCCGATCTCGTCATCCCAGAAACTTTGAAGAATGTCCATCCCTCCGGCCTTGCCCCGTCACTGCCGTACCCCTAACCGTAGAGGTCGAAAACGCGACTGAGAGCTCAAGACCGAGGTACCAGTGCCCCAGCCTTTGTCGAACGCTCTTGTTGGCGTGCCGGCGAAATCTCGTACGTATTTTGCCGGTGGCGATTCGTCGCAGGTAGAGTTGTTGGTGCCCCTGGCCGAGGTGAGGACACATTTAAGGCCGGTTTTTCGACCGTACCTTCACAGCTACTGGCTGCTGCATAGGGTCGGACATCCTCTTGCTTCTTAGTTGGCGATTTGGCTTTTGGAGGTATGGGATTGCTTAGGTAGGTAGTGAGATGATTGTGAGGAGGGCCGCAAGATGAGTTTGACTGAGAATGAATTTCCAGAGAAAGAAAATAAGATCTTGAAGGTGTCGGTTGTCGTGATACAAACATCAGACAGGTTACAGGCTGCCTGCGGTTCGTATGTGGGGTGTAGATGGTTGATTTTGTTGAGCTGTGCAGTTGTGAAATCATTGCAATTTGGATTTTCGACCAAAAATGTACCAACACCACTCCTCCCGATCGCCAACTCGACGAAAACTCTCAAATCCATCCTTAGTCGTAACTGAATATCGGCTCTGGGTGAATATTTCACTCCCAGGTCCGTAGAGGACACCACTGACAGGTGTTAAGCCTTCGTCCTCCTTTGTTTTGCCAGAGATGGATAGCATGTAATTTGACATGACTAGCGCTTATCTAAATTCCACTGCGGCCTTCGGCGCCACAGTATCTCACCTAATTTCTAGCATGGTTATCGTCGTATATGTTATCAGAAGCTTCTCTTTGATAGTGGGAGCACAACTTAGCACAAAGCTAAAGACTTTTCTCAATCTTTGCCACACACATTATGCAGTGAGTGATGGAAGGCCTTGGGGGACACCATTTTTATGTCTAGTATTCGTCCCCCAACCAAAGACATTTCACGGTTAAAATCCCCGTCATGACACTAGTATGTTGTGTTACCATTGTAGTCGATATCTTAGCATGGGTTCTGTAATATTTATATCTGTGAAGTATTGATCTTGAACTCTCATTTCAAATACGAGACTCATATCTCGTGCTGGAATTTTCCATCATTTTGCAACACAGGATAACAAAATCTCAAATCTATAAATCGTAATAGCACGATAGTTCAACTACATCGCCGTCAAATAACGAATAATTTTTGCAAAAATAATTCTGAAAAGAAGTTGGGATTGTAAGCTGAAAATGACTCCCATGGATGGACCGTCTACATGGTGCATATGTAGCCCCTCAAAGATCTTCCCTCATCAAGTTTCTTTGAATCATTCATGGCAGCAAACTTTTCGTTAGAAAACCATTAAATCGGCCTGTGATGGAGGATTTCCGCGGAAAAACCTCAATGCAACGCTATAAGCTTTTTCGGACAGCCCCAGACATTAAAATTTTAGATGTCTCCTCAAAGAACGTTTTCGGTGAAAGGAGGTTGGGAGGAATCAATTTAAGAGCGCAATCTCGTTTGCATGGGAGTTAGAGTGAATTTTAAATCGTTATTGCCATCAGCATGAATACTCACCAACACTTCTGTTGAAATCCTTTGACGAAGCCTGAATCTCTATGGATTCAGCAAACGGTAAAAATCTTTCCTTCGAGATACTCTGCGAAGACTACACTGCTACGTACGGTCCTAGGCTAGGAAAACTCTTAATACGGGGAAGAAGGCCTATTGAAACCCCAAATTTCTTTGGAATCACCTCCAGAGGGGTGATTCCGCATATAACACCCGATGTCATGGCATCGCATATCCAAGTAGGAGGTGTTCATATTGCGCTAGAAGATAGTGAGTTCACCATACAGTGTTATCTTTAATTCGTTCTGAGTGAAATATAGTCTTCAAGAAGGAAGATCTATCAACTTCCAACAAGGACTCTTCTCTACACGAATTTGCAGCAGTTCCCAGGAGAGTCACTACTCTTCTTGCCCCGCGTCGCACTCCGGCTGTCTTAGCCCCTAATGGAAACTCAAATTCGTCAATAACAATATTTGCCCTAAACGGTTTCCAGGAAATCTCGAATAAAAATTATATCGGTCTTACGCGCAAACTAAGCCCAGATATCGCTATTGCTATGGCTGATATTCCGTATGGCTCGGGTCCTGGTGTAAAGCGAGTAGCAAAAATGGTTCGTAGGACCCAAGCCTGGGTATCTGAAACGATTCACGAAAAAGCAGAGAATCAGGCTACATTCGCGCCAATTCTACCTCTTAAAGCTTCAGAGCAATCCGAATACTTAGAATATATTTCTAACCATGCTTCAGACTGCATAGATGGGCTTGCGCTCTATAGTTCCAGCATGCTCCAAGATATCCCAGCCACAATCAGTATACTGAGACTTCCACGACTTACTCTTGATGAGCCATCATCGCCCCTAGATATTCTCAGAAAAATAACTATTGGTATAGATATTTTTACTGTGCCATTTATAAGTAATGCGACTGATGCTGGATTTGCTCTCACTTTTTCCTTTCACTTGAGCCCACAGTTCGATGGGGAGGTGACAAAAAAAACTGGTAAATTATCTCTAGGTACTGACATGTGGGAGTCTGTTCATTCAACATCATTAATACCACTCTCAGATGGATGTGACTGTTATACTTGCAGCCACCATCACAGGGCCTATGTCCAGCATCTACTATGTGCCAAAGAAATGTTGGGCTGGGTTCTTTTGCAAGTTCACAATCATCATATACTTTGTGAATTCTTTAGATCTGTACGAAAGAGTATTTCTAGCGGTTGTTTCCCTGAAGACTGTGAAAAATTTGGAGAGCTCTATTCCGACTTCATGCCCGAGAAGACAAGAAAACCTATAAGGATAAAAGGATACCATTTTAAAAAGGAAGATCTTAGCCGAGAGAATGTAGATAGCGAGAGTTGTGAGTCAACTCGATTAGACAAATACTTGGGTCTTCAAGTTGACTAGAGTTCAAGTCAGGTAGACTCCCCGTGATTGTGCAGCCTCACGAATGATATAGCAATCCCAGGCCTCTCCTAATTTGTTAGTGCTTCGAGAAATAGTACTATAACCAATTCTAATACAGTCCCTCGAAGTACTACTTGCAGTGAAACGATGTAAAAACCCTTACATATCTTATTCATTGAGTCCCAGGCAAACCTTGCAATAATCTATCTTAAGCAGGGAAGATAGGAAAACATCAAATGCTGATACGTAAATTCAAATCCAATCATTTCAAGTTTGCATGGCAAGCTGTACTACCTCGACCAGACTGGTCTGATTAAGATCTTAACTCAAATTTGGCGTGACCCAATAATACCGAGAAATAAATATTAATACGATTGACACGACGATAAGTACAAATAAGCCGAAGTGAAAAGAATCGACGCAACCCCACCTTTTAACATCACGAACAAACTTATATTACAAAGCTTTAGACAGTCTGCATGGTCTGACATCTAGAGTTAGTTAGCGGCTGATGCCCCAAAAGCTACCCGTCCTTCCTAGCTAGCAGAGGTGATTATCATACAGTAGTGCTTCTCTAAAAGCTCAATGCGCTTGGTATGCCAGTTATGGCTAGGAAGAATCGCGTCACCCCGATCAGCCCAGTGGTCTCTATCATCTTCATCTCTTAGTTAAAAATTCCTAGTTCCACTATCGTGGAGCTAATCACCATCAGATGGTAGTGTCGAAGCCCTACTCATCGTCTTCCCACTTTTCTTGGTAATTGATCGAAAAATATCCGATAAGTTTCTGGAGCATACAGAGCTCCCGATACGGTGGTGATGGATTGGATCAAGCTGGCAGCTTTCTCTACAAGAAGTACTTGAACGGATATATACACCTGATATGGCTCTGGTGCCTGGGCCTCGCCTATCTGTGATAATGAATGTTCTGAAAGTTTTCCCGAACACGCAATTTCTATTGCTAAATTTTTATTTTTGTAGTAGAAGCTTCTGTAGACAAAGCTGCTAATTTCCATGGATAAATGCCGGGCCAGATGGATATGCATCGTAGGCACTATAGCAGAGGTGTTTTATTCGTAAAAGGAGATATAATTGCTGTACAGGACGTGGCCTGGGTCAGAAAGAGCTCAAGCGTGCTAGATATTTATAGGCCTAAGTACAATCAATGCTAGACGAAACCCATTCGTCATTATCGGATTTCCCTTAGCGGGCTCACAGCTATACTTGAGTAATACTGTAGAAGCAACTAACTGACACTTTGAAAAATTTATTTCAAGCTTTTGGAGAGCAAGAAATTGACGGCAACCAACGACGTATTCATTGAAAGGCAAAGTGAAATTCTATTAATGTCGCAATTTAATTATTCAGAACTAAATGTGTTGGATCTTCTTTGCCTTATCGAGACCTATATCGATGAAGTGTAATTAGAGATCACACACGGCTATAGCTTGCCAAAGCTTTGAGGCCACCGGTATAGATGAGAAACTTTTACACTGGCATAACCTTTAATATCAGTGAGTAAACGGCTTGTAGCTTCAACAGTGCAGTGGACGGCTAACTAGCCATTCATGTTCGCAGACGATCAGTTTTAGTCTCTATCATGGCCATTTAATGTCTTGTGTAGGATATAGCAGTAGCATATCTGCGCAACACTTTCCCTACATTAAACTTATATAAAGATCTTTTTCCAGGACGTAAGAGGTGTGTGTTTTTTGGCTGTGTATGCATCATGTCCCATTATTAGCCCGATACAGGTCGTATTTTTATTAAAAGTCTATTCTCAATCTTCTTTGCTAGCTTCGGTTTTATTTAGCTAGCATAAGTTAATTTTTTTGGTTGTGTTCGTAGATGCCCGGCCATTTTCTTACAACCAAAAACCTTGAAGGGCCGATGCCCTTTTTTGAATTTCGTGATCGCAAGCTAAAACATATACCCCCAGACATACAATTGCTGAAATGAGCTCCGGAAAATATTGATCACCCACTTAATTCTAAATTGCACCCGAGTTTACCACGCAGACGCTAGGCTCCAGTGACTCCTTTTATCCGAAGTAAAATGTCATGCTAAATCATTTAAAAAGTCTCTTGCCACCAATTCTGACCCCAAACCTTTCTACTCCACTCTGCTGCTGCTGTTGCCACAGGCCGAGCTGCCCTACTAAGCCTTGATCTGTGAGAATATGCCGGCGAAACGCTTCTCGAAGGTGGTCAGGCATTAATGGACCTCTTCTTTTTTCCTTCTCGGCCTTTACAAGGCTCTGTTCGCTATTGGGGACTGGTAATCCTGGATTTTCGCCTGTTATTTCTAACCATTCCGTTTGCACCTTCCGGGATCTTTCAATTATATCGCCTGCAAATATCTTGGCCACAGACCTGACAGCCAGGATAACTTGCTGAGGCGCAGACTGTGAAAGTGTTTGATTGACAATCTTTGATTATAATCAGCATCTTGTAAATGTAATGGGGATTCCTTTACCCTCCTAACTACTGAATCTGACAATTTACTACTTCTCCATGCTTCGTATCGCTGCCACTGTTCTTGATTGAAAGCACGGGTCAGGAGATGACGGCGCCGCTCTTCTTTCAATCTTTCTTCCTTAGTGCTCTCAATCGTATTTATGGCTAGCTCCTGGCCAACCTCCTCTTCTTCATCCTCAAAGCTCTGATCAATACCGCATTTTAAAGCCTCTCTGCCAGTATCCATTAAAATAGCACCAGCTTCAGAAGGTTGTATACTACTGGGTTCTTTTCCCTTAACCTTGCGTGATTTTTTTTTCTTACCGGTTGTCACAGGACCTGATACCACCGACATTCTATCAACACTAGGAGAGCGTGAATACCCAGGTGACTCTGCCGCCGACTCAGGTGGAAAAGAAGTTTGACGGAGTGGATGTGCTGCTGTTGTTAGGTTCAACGGTATAATTGACGACTTTCGACGTTTGTTTACTGGGGCAGAGGAGGGGATATCGGGCTGCCTGCGCTTTGAAGGCTGCGCATGCTGCAAATGCGATGTGTAATTGACCGAGAGACCAGATGGAAAACTTTGACTGTAGGGTGGAGATGCCATAATTTCTAATAGCAAGCGTCGAATGTGGCTTGGGTGGTAAGAATAGAATGAGATGTTTGTCTGATCAATAGGTTTTGGTCGGACGACAAGGCCGGACCCACATACAGGTATCAGCCTAGTGACAAGCTTGAACTTTCCGCAATAGGCACCACAGGCACCACAGATATTACGACCTCTACCGGGCAGGCACAGCATTGTCTCGATCCCTTAAATCGATGTAGTCGACATATCTACATGTACATTGTCAAGTTTTTTACCTACTGTGTCTAATTAGAAGACGATTAACGATTTATTCGACATTAAATCCAAAATTAGGTAAAGCGAGCTTGCAATTCCATACAAATTGCAATATTTAAATATATATATTAACTCCCTTTGAAGGTGCAGTAGGATGGTGATTCTTACAATGAATTCTATCGAAAGTTTTATCCTACAAACTTGCCTTCAACCCATCAAGATCATCCTTAGCTATAACTTATCCGCTTTCATACACATCTATCCCACAATCCTCCATAGAAATAGAAAGTTAATTTAGTGTATACCTTTCCGAAGACCGCTATGATTGTTTCACGAGTTTAATTCATGGCAATGGTTGAAGTTTACCGATTTGGGTTTTTATCTCTATTCCATCCTTTGATTCCAAAAAACCATTGACCGCGTTGAAGATTTTGGACTCTACTACGTCTTCGGATGTCCCCGCGTCAATCATCTGCATGCGTCCATCTTGTGTATCGAGTTGAAGTAGACTATGGAATATCCCTCTAACCCGCTCTTGCATTTCTTTCTTTTCGTATTTCTCGGCGCCATATCCACCTCTCTTTTCTGCCTCAGATGGCTCTAGATCAAGAAAGAAGACAATATCAGGACACGGCAGTCCAACATCACATGTCCTTGCCCACTCGAGGGAGAGTGATTGATCGTTTTTTGCTGCACTGTACACCATTCCTGAATGATAGTATCGATCGCATACTATTGTGTAGCCATTCGAAAGATTATCTTGAATCCATTTTCTGGTAGAGCTTAGCCCTTGGTTCGCTTTGACTGGATTTACCAACGCACGATTTTTCCCATCTATTCGCGGCGAACAAGAGATGGATGGCATGATCATCCATTTGAATAGAGTCTTGGAGATAACTGTCGATCATCTTGCCGATTGGTGACGTGCGATCTAGAACTCAACTTAGCAATTGGTTATCAATTGGTGGTTAGAAATTGAATAGAATCGACTACAATAAATTGACTGCCGTATTACCAGGAAATTTGATTTCTTTGATGTTGTACCCAAGGGAATATAGCTTATCACACAGCCGCCTGACTTGTGTTGTTTTCCCAGCCCGATCAAGTCCTTCTATGACAATGAATGCTCCTCTCTTCATATTAGAGGTTGAATTTTGCCATGGCCACGTTTTTCCCGGAATGATACTCATATTTTTGACGTGCTTTTATCTAGTCTTGATGTCCTGTGAAAGTCCTGATATGATGTGCATAGGTATTTTAACCAACACGATCGTAGATGCCTGGACGACTTGTCGCGGCTGCAGATATAGGCAATGCGAAATCCTACAGTTTTTTATGGTTCCGCTACAGCTACTCGAGTAAATTTACAAGTGCATAACGCAAACTTCATAAAATCAACAATAAATCAATGGACCAATATGTTAAATAATTATGATAGAGACAAAACCTACACTTATTCACCCACTTACAGAAATTGAGAAACCCGGGACTCTGAAAGCAACAGGAGACTGAGTCTAAAAATACGACACAACTAGTTAATTTAATAGTCTATTGGCCTCTCGATTATGGCAGATTCAAAATTAGTTTGGAACCCCGACAATATCAGAGATGTCGCCGAGTCAGTGGGAATCTCATCATTGAACGAAGAGGCAGTTAGAGTACTATCTCAAGAAGTTGAATATAGAGTGGGCCAACTGATTGTCGAGGCGATGAGATTTATGCATCAAGGAAAGCGCACAATACTAGGAACACAAGATATTGCTCAAGCTCTGAAGGTGCTAGATGTTGAGCCACTCTATGGATATGAATCTACAAGACCTTTACGCTTTGGGGAAGCCTCTCTAGGCCCGGGGCAGCCATTATTCTATATCGAAGATGAGGAGGTTGACTTTGAAAAGCTGATCAACGCACCTTTACCCAAGGTTCCTCGGGATATATCTTTTACTGGTGAGTCGATAGAACGCTATGAACAGAAGGTTATCTAAAAATCACCCAGCACACTGGCTTGCTGTTGAAGGAGTCCAGCCTACCATACCACAGAATCCTTCTACTGCTGAAGCTCGTGCCACGGAATTGGTACCTAAAGGTCCAGGAGCAAACCCAAGTCTGGCAGCTCTAGCAGGTAGTGACAACATTGCTTTCAAACCCTTAGTGAAACAGATAGTCTCAAAAGAGCTCATTCTTTTTTTTGACAAGATAAGAGCAGCAATTTTAGATGAAAATCCGGACCAAGATGTGCTAGTCTTGCGGAAAGCAGCCTTTGAAAGTATCCGTTCTGATACTGGCCTTCACCAACTAGTGCCATACTTTGTTCAGTTCGTCTCGGAAAAGGTTACTCATTCTCTCAACAATCTTTTTGTCTTGCAACAAATGATGGAACTGGTTCAGGCAATGATTGAAAATACTTCTCTTCATGTTGATCCCTACACAATATCACTTGCTCCTCCTATTCTTACTTGCCTAGTTGGACGAAAGATTGGTGGAACGGCAGTTGATGGCTCCAAAGAACAATTCTATTTACGTGATACGGCTGCCTCTCTTATAGGTCAGATTGCTAAGAGATTTTCGAAATCTAGCGCCGAGTTACAAGCCAGACTTGCGCGCACATGCGTCAAAGTATTTCTTGATCCATCGCGCACACTAGGTGAGCTCTACGGTGCAGTTAATGGTATTCTTAGCGTCGGCGGTGCCTCAGCAATTGCAACCCTCGTGCTACCTAATTTAAAAGCATGGGAATATATCCTCACCAAGGCACTAAAAGAGCGTGGGCCTAATGATAATAGCGTTAAAATGCTCCAAGCTGCGGTTATAAAGGCTGTAGTGAGCCTAAGTGATGCATCATCGCCATACACTAATGGCGTCAATGGAAATCCTGCCGATGCCGAACAGGTGCTGGAATATCTTGGACCAGTCATTGGAAATAGCATAGTTGCTTTGGAAGACGACAAGCTTAATCGAGCCATCATAGACTCAAACGAGAAAGTTTAAACCACTACAAACGCTTGCGCTTGATAGAAACGAGTCACCTATACAGAACGTGATAATACCATATGGCCATCCTTTACTAATGGACAAGGGATTTTTATGGAAGATCAGGCCCATTATGAGACTTCGCACAGCTTTTTTAGAGTTTCATTGCCTACTAAATCTCTTGACACCTTCAATTCCCTAGTACTTACTCTGCTTCACCAGGTTGAGATTTCATTCTAGTAAATTTGGCTATCTTCATCAAGGACAACCACCTTCACCCCCTTCAACTTCACATAACTACGTCAATTTTATGAATCTGATGCCAACCCACACATCTGGTGCCTCGTCTAAGAGTAACAATCTAAGAAATTTACCCTCAGATATCCTCAAAAGGCTTTACTATATGAAGAGGAGGTTGCCACGAAAATCTTCTCGATGGCTAGCCGTATAATTTCTTTCTATAGAACAGAATATACAAACCAACACGTAGTTGTACTTGACCCAGCAGTTTCTAGAAGCTTTTTGATAAAAATCATATTACGTCTAGGCCATCGGGTGGACATTTCTGACACTGAGCTTCGGCTTCTCTTGATCTCTCATAATCAATATTTGCTAGCCATAAACTACCCCTGCCGGGATGCATCTTAAGCCTTCCAAGCCTTTTTCTCCATTTAAATTCATGAGTCTCTACTCTTAGCTATGACCCTTTCATTGAAGTCTGATGGCGTAACCCACAGCAGGTACCATTGAAATACCCAGGATACACTAGTAGATGAGCGTTTAATTATTATTCCAGGCCGTAACATGTGTTATTTTCCAGTATGAACGAAGCACACCCAAACACAGTTACCACACATGAAGAGGTTTCACAGGGCTTCTCCATGGTGCAAAGTATTGATGTAGTTACTGCAGTACTCTTAGGAAACCTGTTCCGCAAAAGGTGGAAATGATAATTCCAAAAATTGGAGGACTGCTACACTCTCTTCTGACGTGAGATGTTATCAATCATAGTTCATCGTTTAAGTCTGGCGTGTTTAATATGTCCATGACTAAAGCTGCATAGCAAAAAATGGCTTTTGTGTGATTTTAACAGCTTAAATAGGTGCAAGGCTATTTCAGGATATTCAGGATGCTTTGGGTTGTAGTCCCCGAGTTTCCATGGAACGGCTTGTCAACTTCTTGCCATACCTCCATCGCATCTTCTCTTGACGATTGTACTCTCGTCGGGACATGCTTGACAACACAATCGGAAGATTTGAAATCCCCTTACGCCATTCTTACCCATTTGCCATTCAAGCAGCTGTAATTTCTGGGAAAAAATTGGTGCGTCGAGACTCGCCGAAACTACGGCGCGCGGAAATTTTGTACCACCTACATCAAGGGTGAGTCCGGAGAAAAGCTGCTGTTGTTTGTTGTTTTGAGAGGCCAATTAGTCGGACGCTGTGGAGATATGTACATCTACATGCGTTAACTCTCCTCCTTGTCCCCGCCTAGCAACTCTCTGATTTCTGCCACAGCACATACCGAAGTTCGTGATGGTAGGCTTGGATAGGGTTTGGTCGAGAGTAGTCAGCGAAAAGGAGCCTAGTCCAGCGGTATTGGGATAATGTGAAAGTATAGTCACAAGAGTGAGATAATACGCATTGTAGTATGCGATATGTGGAGAGTGTATATTACCATCCGTATTATCTTGCTCGTGTGATTGTAATTTCACATTGTCGCAACAAGTAGCCAAAAGTTACTAGAGTCACATGATTTTCAAGTGGCTCGTGCATTGTGAGGCTGCGCCGGCCGTGAACATTCAACTTCAGAGGAAAGGGATGAATGTGTTGGTGACGAACACTGGTGTTATTGGGCCATGGACATATACTTGCATAACCTTTTAATTACTTATGAAGCTATCTATCAACGACATAATCCCAGGTAAAAATTATAGAATATATGACTCAATTTAAAACTAGAGCACTCATGTCTCAGATTTCATTTGCAAGTACCATTAGGAAGTTATGGTAGCTCTTATTCACCAAAGTCAACCCTCCTCCGTGAGTACACACTCATGGGGAATTCCGAAAAGCTGAGTTATCCATATATGCATCCGTCACCCATTGACATTTTTCCGCACGAAATGTGATCTTGGTTGTATCCTTCCCTACTGGAGTAGGCTCCCAGACTAATCAAACTATACCAGAGATATCCCCTAGGAGGCGAGCCACAGCAATGAGGTTTCTTTTGCACGTTAGTAAGAACTTCATTATAAACATTGGTTGTCAATTTTACCGGTGTCTCGTGGCTCTGTCTACGACATCTATATGTGTGTAGAGCTTGAGACAAGGTATAAATTTGTATTTCTATTTAAGTTCTAACTCCTAATGTGCATAAAATATCCCTTACTACATATGTGATGTTTTGTTGCACGACTTGAGTCTATGACTATCTGGCACATTGGGCTCCTCTCTGACCCAGGCCATACCTTGTATAGTGCTCCTTGCCTCTCATTTTTCTTGAAAGATCATTGATATGTTGCCCTTGATGAATATCCATTCAGTTCAGTGTTTACCCGTGGAATTCAGTCACCTTTTCCTCCGAACCTTCTACGCAAAAAAATAAAAATGGGGGCAATGGAAACTGCGTGCGCCGGAAAAAGTCTCAAAAAACCTGCAGCCCCAGCCAGGCGTGGCCTAGACACCGGGACCACATGAGGTGCGTATATTCATCTACATCTCCCTTCTTTGTACCATTTGAGGCCGACCTGATCCAATCTACCATCATTGTAACAGATGCAGCGTACGCTCTGGAAACTCATCGGATGGCTTCTCCTCCATGATCAAGGGTTGGTGATAATCAAGGCTCCGACCCTGCCATCAGATCTGATCGTGTTTAGCTTCGTGATAATGTTGATAGGGGAATGTGTTGAGAAATGAAGACGATACAGACGGCGAAAGCGATTGGGAATCCTCGTCAAACTAAGGACTTTGTTACTCAATCTCGGCTCTGCAGACTCTACAGTGAGAGCTGCATGTTCGTGGGTGACACCACTGATAGGTGTTGAGTTTCTTCCCCTAGTCCTCCGTTTCCTTAGACTCAGAAACGAGTCTAATGGAGAGCTTGTTCTTGTGAGAAGAACGAACAACATGTTGTGCAGAGATTAACCACGCCAAACTCAAAATAACTCAAATCTCATAGGCAATCCATAAATTTTTCATTCATAAACTAATCAAATAAATCAAGGATAGATATTGCGCGAATTCATGTGAATGATAATTTTGAAATTTGTTAGTGTCCATGATGTGTATCAGTGATGCTTCCTTCGCGTCCAGTTCAATGAGTTTTCAAATTCCACTATTTATCACGTGCATAACCTATCAAATTGTGCTAATAATAGCCGCAACATTTGTAAAGTTTCTGTGAGCAGGAGCGAAGACTAATTCAAATTGGGATTTTTACCACCATCAACAACGATAAACTAAATTTCATTGAAGGAAGCCATCTACGGTTACTGTAAGATCTGGTGCGAAGCTTAATCCTAAGTACTAGTACAATTGCTCTTATCAAAGAATTATATCTTTTCCACATGTCTTTAGATAAGATAAAACATATTGTTCTTGTGAGTAGAAACTCAACAATTACATGTCAGAACTCATGCTACAGTTCAGGTCCTATCGGGTAAGGGAGGTGTAGGGAAGTCGTCCGTAGCTACTCAGCTGGCACTCTCACTTTCTCTCGCAGGCAAGACAGTCGGCATCCTTGATGTTGATCTGACAGGACCCTCTATACCACGCATGCTTGGTATAGAATCTGCAAAGGTTACCCAAGCTCCTGGTGGATGGGTACCTGTGTCAGTACACGTTGCTGATACCAACGCAAATATTGGGGCACTGACGTGCATGAGTTTGGGATTCTTGCTGCGGCAAAGAGGCGACGCAGTTGTGTGGCGTGGTCCAAAGAAGACAGCAATGATAAAGCAGTTTCTCTCAGATGTTCTTTGGGGCGAAATGGACTTCCTCCTGATCGATACACCACCAGGGACCTCTGATGAACACATCTCTCTAATTGAGAACCTTTTGAAGAATACCAACCCTACACAAATGGCCGGTGCAGTTGTCGTCACAACACCGCAAGCTGTTGCTATTGCGGACGTCAAAAAAGAGTTGAATTTCTGCATCAAGACTGGCGTGTCCGTCATTGGTATAGTGGAGAATATGTGTGGCTTTATATGTCCCAATTGCTCTGAATGCACAAACGTATTTAGCTCTGGTGGAGGGAAGGCAATGGCAGAAGAATTCAAAGTCAGGTTCCTAGCAAGTGTGCCAATTGATCCACAACTTCTGCTATTGGTTGAGACAGGGAAGATTCCAGAGTATCCATCCGGGACTGTGGATAGGATTAATAGTTTAAGCCCTTACAAAAAGGAGTGTAGTAGTTTAATCCCCAAAGCTCCTGAACAGCTGGTCGAGAAGTACAAAGCGTGTCTTCTGAGTTCCATCTTTGACGGTATTACTCGAGAAATTATCAAAACTGTCGAAAACGCCGTTCCAATTTTATCTAAATAAACTGAGGGTTTACATGTCAAAATTTGATTACTCATGTGCTGATCAGGTCGAGGTTCAGATTTATTGGCATGTTCCACAGAAGTCTAAGGTGTCTGTGGTTAACGTGATAGCAGTATCCGATCCAAAGAACACCTCAAACCGACAAATTCTAATTCACCAATGTCAGAAAACTGCGGTCGATAATCCAAATTTCTCCTCCAAAGAAATTACATATCTCACCTCATTGAAAATCGTTGCGAAGGAATCGTGATCACGTCCGATCAAGAAAGGAACTTAATGGATTAGCTATTTACCTCCCAGAAGCATATCGCTTTAAATTTTTAACTATGTACTCAAGGTAAACTCTTATATTATCAACAGCGGCTACTGCGACTGGAGTTTCTGTTTACTTAGCATAAGAGCCATAGCTTCTCGTGTAATCGTATGGGGATATGTAAACTTAGATCTATCAGTCACCCATCTTGGGCCCCTAAGGCATACACAGCTTCTTTTACTGATGCTAACATCGAACTAATCATGTAAATCTAGTATCTCGTACAACAAAACTGTGATAAATAAACTAATTTATAACCAACGAAGAAAGAATCGATTTCCAAACAAGCAGTTGAAACCTAGGTAACCTGTAAAGACCGTGCGCATTCTTTAATCAAGAAAGAAAGGTTTCATGAAGAATGCGGAGAGATCATTCACAAAATTCCTCTCTGTAAAGGTAACGGCTTGCTTCTTGAGACGAAGCACCAAATAGAAGTAACGGATCAGTATTTTTGTCTTTGAACAACTAATTTGAAATTTACCATCAAGATGTAGTTCAAGGAAAACGGAAGGTGATTTGCGGGCGTAGTGGCTCTCTTTTTTCATTATGATTATCCTTTTTCAATCTGAGACCGTATAAGACATGAGGACCCTCTCTGCCTACAAGTCAAGGACGCCTATACCAAAAGTATATCACCTCCTGTGCCTCCCATACAGCTCCCCTCAAACAGTACCACCCCTCACAAGCCCTCATTCGATCATACACCAAGAGGTGCCCTTTGCCCTTCATTATCTCCCCTCTCCAGCCAACGAAACGATGGCCATTTGCCGGTGTATGGCAGCCGGGAAAAATCGCAAAAACCACTGGGTGCGGGGCTCTTCTAATATCGACATTAGGAATAAATCCGGAGACATATTGCCCCTTCTGAAGCGTTCGAAGAGGCTGGCCAGCTGGGCGCTGCAGACTCGTGGGCACCTCGAAGAATTCTCTCCCTACCTTTCTAGCCTTCTTCCAACTGTTTTCCCGAAGGTCGTGCTGAAATTTCAGAAAAGTCTTGACAGAACGTGATTGCTGCATGGTATTATTATTAATTCATGTTATTGTCCTTTCTGAGTCTATGACTATTGGCTGCATGGTAGCTTGGCCCAACTTCTTTGGTGCGGTTGACTCGTGGACAATTGAAGTTTTCCTGGCTAACCAGCCGAAACCTCGGTCTAGTCACCTACAAACATTCCAGCGTCGAAAACCACTCGGGATTATCAGTCCCACCATGTCCATCAGCGACACTTGCCCTATCTATTACCACGTTCTGTCTTATCTTTGTAATTAATCAATTGATCGTCGTGGATATTCGTGGAATTGAAAGTGCTTGGAGTACTGGCATATCTGCTCGGGCATACAGCATGGATTTGATAACTAAGACTCAATATATATTAGTAACTTTCGTTGGATAGAATAGAGAATCAAGTTTTAATGCATATTTTTACCATCACCTAAGTGGAGTCACTCTGATGAGTATAACGACACTCAGGCCAAGAACTCTGTGGACTATGGTCGGAATACCTTGCCGGTCTATTCTTAGATATAAAGCTCAGCCAGAGCAAGTCTATCATGTCTCCCCAAAAACGCGTCATTTAACTCCCTAAAGCCTAACCTGATAATTTGTAAGAATACTCGCTTGAAATGTCTAACCCTCGCGCATCTTGGGTTAAGTTTGATAACAAAACTAACATTGAGAACGACTGCGAAAAGTATGACCCCTCTGTCCAAACACACAGGAAGTCTATTCTCCCAGAGCCAAGTTCAGTCAAATTTCGCAATATCAAAGAAGTTGGCCCACGAGGCAAAATTTAAAATTACTCCACCACGTCGTTTTTCCGCTCCCAACGAGTTTGACGCCTACCTAAGTCTCATCAAGTCTACAAGTACGACCTAGTACATCCTCATCCCAATGACCACACCTCTCGTCGACTTTCTCTGGCCTCAGTTGACCGCCAAATACACGCCCACGCCGATATTTACAACCGACGGAGGAAGCAAAGCGTGGCGCACAAGTCTGGGAGACAGTTCTTCGGGATGGACGTGAGAGGGATCAGGACAAGTTGACAAGATGATGCGAAGGACGGATATAACCTCGAAGGGTATGAGATTCCGAATTTTGGCAGGGAGATTTACGAATTGGGCTTTGTGCGCGCCAAGACTTCGCTTGCGAGAGTGCAGCTGACACTATAAAAACAAGCCAACGATGGAAAGTGTAGTGGTCCGCCTCCTGGTGGTGTTCTCTGGTATGGTTTGAGTAGCCTGGGCACCTACTCCACTTGGGAAGGAGACACCTAAGACCACATTTCGCGCGGAGAAAAGTTGAAAGATGATGGAGGCATGTCTGAATAACTCAGGGTTTTTGAGACGTTTCCCTGGGTGGGGATTCACGGATGAGGGTTGACTTGGGGAGAGGAAAAAGCCACCATAACTTCGCAGTGGTACCTGCAAATGAAATCCGAGGCATGAGTGCTTCTCTTGTAAATTGAGTCATCTTTTCTGTACTTTTATTTGAGATTGTGTCATAGCTAGATAGCTGCATACGCAATTAAAATCTGATGCAAAAAATAAAAAATAAAAAAAAACACAGGAAGTCAACGCCCGCATTCCTTCCCTTATGGTACGAGTGTGACGGGCTAGTACTTTCTGCCAATGCACGAATGCCACAATTAAAGTTTATATTTTCTATGAGGGATTGAGAGCGAGAAGCTACGGCTTTTTATAACTACAATGCCTGTTCCAGATCCCCTGGACCTTTACACGTGATCTGATAATACTCCCGTAAAGTGAGTAGATCTACGAACTCGTTTGCCAACTTTCACAGGAACTACAAAAATTTCCTTACTTTTCATCGTCCCAAGACGCCAAGATGCCCCCCGGGAGGCGTAAAATCCCCACGAAACTTGTCTCCCCTGCTCGAATTGTCTCGCGCACAGTCAAACGTGCGAGGCCTCGCCCTCCGCTCCCAACTGTTCAGGAGGAAGTTATCCTAGCAGCCGCAGCTGAGAAGCAACAATCTCCAGCTGAACCCATCTACATGGACTCCGAAGACGAGTTCATGGACCTCGGATTGGAAAACGAATATCCTTCCAACTCTTCCTCTGAAAACCTTTCCCTCTCTCCAACGCCAGCTCCCGTATCGGAAACAGCTACCCAACTGCATCCGCCAATAAAACCTCTGCGAAGAGATTCTACTCAGGGTATCTCCAGCTCCATTTACGCGTCGACCAAAGACAACGTTGCAATTGAGAAACAACCAACCCCAACTCTCCCGCGATATAGCGCGCGTACAACAGCGCGGATTATCGAACACCCCTCGGCAGCTATGACAAATAACATAGCCGCTTCATTGCTGGCCTAGCAAAATGCCGTAGCCAAATATCTACGTGGTCTACCGCCAACAATCGCTGCGGACCTTAAAGCTATCGTGACGCGAAGTGCAGCACGAGTCATTGCAGGCCTCCCTGTCTTCGAGCAGTCTCAAACTACTGCAAACGTAAAAGATAGCGCACAGCTAGCCCCACAACTAGAACTACCCGTAAGTTCTACTTACCCAAATGCTGCGAAGAAGAACTTGACCGTACCTGTACCCCCTTCAAAGGCTACGCCCAGGGTTACCAGTTCAAAGAAAAAACACATGCCGGACTCTAGAGTTATGATACGCCTAGCGCCCGACCACCCTCTGAGGTTCCAAGATTCTCTTCTGGTCCGTACAAAGTTGAGAAGCTTTCTCGAAAAACCGGAACTAATCAAGGACATCAGGTGGGTCCCTTCTGGGATAGCTCTCGCGGCCCCCTCATCCGATCAGGGCCCCGAACTCATGCAAGCAGCCCTTGCTCTACAGCCCGCTACAGGAGTTGTGCCTATCGATAGAACTTTCTCATTAGCCCAGTCCCCAAATATGGATACAATGCTTCCGGATCTCTCGAAGCCCTTTCCGTTGCAGACATCATGGAAGAACTTGTAGTGGCAAAAATCGATACAAAATCAATTCTTTCTATCAAATGGACACGTAACTCTCTGACATCCCCATAGTGGGAAGGTACTATCCGACTATTAGTTGCAAAGCTAGCTGCAGATAAACTCCCCTCCAGCGTCCACCTATTTTCTCGGTCCGCCAAAATACGACCGGCTGACAATCGCCCACGCTTCCAAGCCTGTAAACGCTGCCATGGATTCCACAACATCAATGCCTGCACCAGTAGAGCTCGCTGCGGACTTTGTGCGTCAGACTCACACAACGGCCCATGTATGACACCGATAAGGTGTCTAAATTGTGCTGGCCCGCACGTAGCCTCTTCCACTGGATGCCCCGCAAGACCTTTCCGAGCTAACGGAGTATTTGTTTGCCCAGACAAGGAGAGAATGCGGGTAATAAGCCAGGAAGGACACAAGTCCTGGCTAGCTCTTAACTTTCTCCCTCCCGTTCCGGAACCCCCAGCTGGGTCTCCTTCCACCCAACCCTCGCGCAGCACGATTCTAGCTCCTGCTCTAACAATAGGCTCGGCATCTAGGTTTGCTCCCCTGATTTCCCTTGAGAAGTCACTATGAGGGTCCGAAACAGGAACCGAAGAAGCAGAAAACCCCAGGCCTCTGTTGGCACGCCTAAAGGTGCCCTCGCCTTCAGAAAATGGGTTGAGCTGACGAAGTTCTTCGACGAAATACAAAGAGCCCATCAGATATTTCCATTTGCGATCCGGTGTGGGCT